TTTTGAACAGAAATAGATGAATGTCTCAGTGACCCTTGCCATAATAGTGGGACATGTGTTGACGACATAAATGGATACACTTGTCAATGTCAGAGTGGTTGGGAAGGTGACCAATGTGATTCAGGTGAGGCAATGCAAGAGACATGTAGTATTAAGTAAAACTTCGCATAAATATAACAAAATATTGCATCTGCTGAACAAATTATAATGCTGGTATTAACTGTCGGTATTTTGGCATTGTCAGGGTTTTATTGCAGAAGCGATCCTTGTCAGAATGGGGCTACCTGTGCTGACACTCAGTCAGGTTATCAATGCTACTGTCTTACAGGGTATGAAGGGATACATTGTCAAATAGGTATGTAGCTTTAATTCTCAAATCTGTTTTCGGGGGAAAGTTAAGTAGATCATCTATTTACTGCTTTCAATTTTTTTAATCTCAGATACAGATGAATGTCAGAGTGACCCATGTCAAAATGGAGGAACCTGCTTTGATGAAGTGAACGGATATCAGTGTGAATGTGCAGATGGATATGAAGGAGACAATTGTGATTCTGGTGAGCTGGAAATGTTATCTTCAATTGTTCAAATTAACAAAATTTTGTCAGGTGAGAATATTATTAATTCAATACTGAATTATATTCTCAGATATAGATGAATGTCACAGTGACCCATGTCACAATGGAGGAACCTGCTTTGATGAAGTGAACGGGTATCAGTGTGAATGTGCAGATGGATGGGAAGGAGACAATTGTGATTCAGGTGAGATAAAATTATTATTTTTGTTGTTCTGTATGTGTTTGTTAGGGAAAATCTTCTTTTCATGACATTATACGACATTTACTTTTTATATTTGATGGAAATATTCATGATTGTGCAAATAATTCCTTGATAACTCCATATTTATAAATATTCGCATAACTATCTGAACCTAACTTTCAATATGTCTTAGTATGGAATGTATTTGTGCAATGAGAGTATTATCATTACAGGGTACTACTGCTCTAGTGGCCCATGTCAAAATGGTGCAAGTTGCAGGGACGTGTCATTGGGTTATGAATGTAACTGCTTACCTGGATATTTGGGAACAAATTGTGAAACAGGTGAGATGTTCAAAAACATATTACTCTTTGTAAATGTATAATGAATCTGTGGCTTGCATTATTTTTATATGTTTTGTTATATTCTTTTGAACAGAAATAGATGAATGTCTCAGTGACCCTTGTCGTAACGGAGGGACATGTGTTGACGACATAAATGGATACACTTGTCAATGTCAGAGTGGTTGGGAAGGTGACCAATGTGATTCAGGTGAGGCAATGCAAGAGACCTGTAGTATTAAGTAAAACTTTGCATAAATATAACAAATTATTGCATCTGCTGAACAAATTATAATGCTGGTATTAACTGTCGGTATTTTGGCATTGTCAGGGTTTTATTGCAGAAGCGATCCTTGTCAGAATGGGGCTACCTGCGCTGACACTCAGTCAGGTTATCAATGCTACTGTCTTACAGGGTATGAAGGGATACATTGTCAAATAGGTATGTAGTTTTAATTCTCAAATCTGTTTTCGGGGGAAAGTTAAGTAGATCATCTATTTACTGCTTTCAATTTTTTTAATCTCAGATACAGATGAATGTCAGAGTGACCCATGTCAAAATGGAGGAACCTGCTTTGATGAAGTGAACGGATATCAGTGTGAATGTGCAGATGCATATGAAGGAGACAATTGTGATTCTGGTGAGCTGGAAATGTTATCTTCAATTGTTCAAATTAACAAAATTTTGTCAGGTGAGAATATTATTAATTCAATACTGAATTATATTCTCAGATATAGATGAATGTCACAGTGACCCATGTCACAATGGAGGAACCTGCTTTGATGAAGTGAACGGGTATCAGTGTGAATGTGCAGATGGATGGGAAGGAGACAATTGTGATTCAGGTGAGATAAAATTATTATTTTTGTTGTTCTGTATGTGTTTGTTAGAGAAAATCTTCTTTTCATGACATTATACGACATTTACTTTTTATATTTGATGGAAATATTCATGATTGTGCAAATAATTCCTTGATAACTCCATATTTATAAATATTCGCATAACTATCTGAACCTAACTTTCAATATGTCTTAGTATGGAATGTATTTGTGCAATGAGAGTATTATCATTACAGGGTACTACTGCTCTAGTGGCCCATGTCAAAATGGTGCAAGTTGCAGGGACGTGTCATTGGGTTATGAATGTAACTGCTTAACTGGATATTCGGGAACAAATTGTGAAACAGGTGAGATGTTCAAAAACATATTACTCTTTGTAAATGTATAATGAATCTGTGGCTTGCATTATTTTTATATGTTTTGTTATATTCTTTTGAACAGAAATAGATGAATGTCTCAGTGACCCTTGTCGTAACGGAGGGACATGTGTTGACGACATAAATGGATACACTTGTCAATGTCAGAGTGGTTGGGAAGGTGACCAATGTGATTCAGGTGAGGCAATGCAAGAGACCTGTAGTATTAAGTAAAACTTTGCATAAATATAACAAATTATTGCATCTGCTGAACAAATTATAATGCTGGTATTAACTGTCGGTATTTTGGCATTGTCAGGGTTTTATTGCAGAAGCGATCCTTGTCAGAATGGGGCTACCTGCGCTGACACTCAGTCAGGTTATCAATGCTACTGTCTTACAGGGTATGAAGGGATACATTGTCAAATAGGTATGTAGTTTTAATTCTCAAATCTGTTTTCGGGGGAAAGTTAAGTAGATCATCTATTTACTGCTTTCAATTTTTTAATCTCAGATACAGATGAATGTCAGAGTGACCCATGTCAAAATGAAGGAACCTGCTTTGATGAAGTGAACGGATATCAGTGTGAATGTGCAGATGGATATGAAGGAGACAATTGTGATTCTGGTGAGCTGGAAATGTTATCTTCAATTGTTCAAATTAACAAAATTTTGTCAGGTGAGAATATTATTAATTCAATACTGAATTATATTCTCAGATATAGATGAATGTCACAGTGACCCATGTCACAATGGAGGAACCTGCTTTGATGAAGTGAACGGGTATCAGTGTGAATGTGCAGATGGATGGGAAGGAGACAATTGTGATTCAGGTGAGATAAAATTATTATTTTTGTTGTTCTGTATGTGTTTTTTTGTTACAGAAAATCTTCTTTTCATGACATTATACGACATTTACTTTTTATATTTGATGGAAATATTCATGATCGTGAAAATAATTCCTTGATAACTCCATATTTAGAAATATTCGCACAACCATCTCAACCTAACTTTCAATATGTCTTAGTATGGAATGTATTTGTGAGAGAGTATTATCATTACAGGGTACTACTGCTCTAGTGGTCCATGTCAAAATGGTGCAAGTTGCAGGGACGTGTCACCGGGTTATGAATGTAACTGCTTACCTGGCTATACGGGAATAAATTGTGAAACAGGTGAGATGTTCTAAAACATTGCTATTTGTATATTTATAATAAGTTTGTGGTTTGCTTTACTTTTAAAATTGCTGTTACAGATATGGATGAATGTCTCAGTGACCCCTGTCACAACGGAGGAACATGTGTTGATGACGTGAACGGATATCATTGTGAATGTGCAGATGGTTGGCAAG